TTGGGAACCCAATGGAGGTCACTATGAATTGGAATAGATTCTATGGCAATGACTTTGGTATTGGTTTATCTGTGCTCTTGAGGAATTTCCAAAAGCATTGCTGGGGAAGGGCATGTGGGCTTGGACATGACACTGAAACATCAAGGCTCTCAGAAGTGAGTGGAGAAGCACTAGGTGACTTGGGTAGGAGCCAAAATAACCACTAGAAACCTTGATCAAAACTTGAAAGATAAGACTAGATTATTTATAAGCTAGTGTTTTTATACTCTCATTGTGTTTTCCCTAAATGAATCAGGTCAGGATTGGAGGATACAACAGAATTCAGCTCTAGACTGCATATAGCAATAAAACAAAGTGCTTCATACAGATCCAGAAGAACACAGTTGCAATGACTAAAATTTGTTTTAAATTTTAAATTTTCCGTTTTGTTAAAATTTGCTCCCCTCACCTGAACCAGTCAGTCTTCCTCCATTTGCCATCAGTTTAGACATTTGTAGAAGACCGAGATGTTGGTTCCTGCTTGATCAGTACTGGTACCGTGGACAGCACAGGGCCACTGTTTATTCTGTTTGAGATAATTATGACTTGATCTCCATCTCATATGCTACCCAAAGGCCCTAAAAATCAAGCAGAGTTGCTAGGGATAAGGCATAACAACCTTATTTCAGGATTTTCAATTAGAGTTTCAGTATCCAGTGCAAGATTTAGATATTTGGAAACCCAGGAACATTATTATTTCTGAAATTACAGAAATACAAAGAGGATCGGTAATAATAGTAAGGCAGTGAAACTGCCAATATCACAAAATCTTCTGGAATCTCCCACATCAAATGATGATTACTGCTGAAATGGCACCTACAAAGTAATGAAGCCTTCAATGAGCATTTATTGAATCCTTTCTATATGCTAAAGAGCCTGGAAGGAGTATGATATCAAAACATATTTATCATCTCTTTCCCAATGCAGACAGTATATAACATGACACCAACAACTAGAGAATAAGACAACATATAGTATGGTCCAATGCAGACAGTAAGTAGAATGGCACTAAAGAATGTCAGTAACACTAAGTCTGTACCAACACTACCACATTAAATGCTGACCACTTTGACAATCCTCACAGGACCTGTCAGTTAGGCAAGAAATGTGATATAGTGCAAGTAACTCACCATCCAGCACTCAGATTCTCTTCTCAATCAGAGTTTTGAGTCATTTGTGCATATCCTCTCCTCACCATGGTGCCCACAGTATATCCTCCATGTCAAAGAAACCCCTTAGAACCCCAGCCACGTTAGCTCAAGCCTTTAGGTAAAGTTGAGAGCCTAAAGCAAAAGCAACCCTGGGTATACTTTAGAATCTACTGGGAAGCTTTTTAAAATAAGAGAGTCTGACTTCATTGTCTGGAATGGGGCCTGGCCATCAGTATTACTTTTAAAATTTACCAGAAAAATCTAATGTTTACCAGAGTTGAGTATACTTGTGTTAAGTAGTCATAAATTATATTTAAATATTTGGGATCTTTTTTCCATAAAAGTGCCTTTTCTTACTCCACATAAAAATGTAACAAACACTCTTTATTTCAATTCCCTATTTCCTTAGCACCTCATCTCAACATTGAGCCTATTCTATTGAAAAGACTCAAATGTGAAGAAAGGTGTGGAAGAAGAGTCACAAAGATCTGCTTTAGGCTGATCTGTTTATATCACAGATGGATTGATTATATCAATCAAGTTGAGTGACATACATAGTCACGCCCAGGACTCAGAATTGCAGTCTGGATTATGACTGACACTCTCATACTCTGCTCTGTTGAACTTAAACATCTTATCCTTGAAATGAAGTAATAAATAGGGAAAGGGAGAGAAGGAAATGTGGGGAGAGGAAGAGAAAGAGGAAAATACCTGTCTTACCATGCAGAAAAAAATTAAAGAGACATTTTCTCCTTCCCCTTTAATGCCAACCTTTTATACTAAGCTAGGCCACAATACTTTGTCAGTCATCAAACGTTGCAGCCTTGGCAAAAGCATTGGAAGTTGATGCTCTGTGGCTGACCACAACCACTGTCACCTTCATGTATGAAAATATGCTTTCTTGGCCCTTGCTACTCACTCTTGACTCCCATTTGTATTGCAAGGGCATAGTCATTAGTAAAAAGAAGGGTTTCTGATGATGTTTACCACATCTTGCATTTATGTAGACTCATATAACAGAATTTCGTAGAAGGAATTGATATGCTAGTTCATTTAGTTCAAGCCCCTTGTTTACATTTGATACCTAGTGCATTTAAGGGGACATCAAGAGATAAAGGAAAAAGAAAAGACTTCATATTGCTTGACTTCCAATACAGAAATCTCCCTACTAAATCAGGCTTTCTTCTTGTGGTTATGGATGCTATTAAGTTAGTTCCAACTCATAGAAAACCCATGTGACACAGTAGAACTGCCCCATAGTATTTCTATGGCTTTAATCTTTACAGGAGGAGCTCTGGTGGTATAGGGGGCAAAATATTTGGCTGCTAACCAGAAAGTCAGCAGTTCAAACCCCCAAGCTGCTCCACAGGAAGAAGATGAGGCAATCTGCTTCCATAAAGATACACAGCCTTAGAATCCCAATGAGGGTCGCTGTGGGTCAGAATCAACTCGATGGCAGTGGGTTTAGTTTTGGTTTGGAATCTTTACAGGAGCAAATGGCCAAGTCTCCCTCCTGAGGAGCCACTGGGTGGGTTCGAATCCCCAATGTTTTAGCAGCCAATTGCTTAACTGTTCCACCACCAGAGCTCCTTCACACTTTCTGAAAGAAACAGAATTTTCAAATAAAACCATCTTTTATACATATTACCATATCCAAGCCATAGTTCCATACTCCAGTTATTACACTTTCCATTTTCATTAGAGGGTAAATTGCAGAGCATACTATAAACTTAGATCTAACCCAGTCAGTGCCTCTGGTGGTGCCTGGCAAATATTAGGAGCTCAGTAGTGAAATGAATATTACCAAAGAATAACCTTGACTTCTTGATGAGTTTTCATAAAGCATCACAACTGCCTTAGCAACCTCTGTATCCAAGGTCTTCTGCTAACTTCAAATAGTTTGCTGATAAGAAAAACAGACCATGTTGAAAATTATGCTTCTTACATGTCTGCCTTTGATTCTCCAACATTTTGATATAAAGTCATATTATAATTTCCTTAGTATATATTTGATTATTTGAATGAAAACTTTTCCAATAATAAATTTTCTAAATACCTGAAAACAAACAATGTTTTTCCTAGAAAGTAAGAAGAATTTATTTAAATTTCCATTTGCCAGTACGCTACCCCAAGCTCACAGATTATATTTTTTTCTTTCCTGTGGCAAACTTCATTTCTTTATGATTAATTTTGAGTTCAACAAAAAATCACACCAAAGCTATCAGAAATCACACAAATAGCCTACTAATACTAACGTTTCCTGTTATAAATCTGAGTTCATAATGAATCTTTAGACTTGATGCTTTTTTCTCCAGCATCATGATGATGATCTGGGTTTTTTCTGAGTTTCCATCAGAGCTCAGCTTTCACTAATTAGTTTCTTTCTGTGTGGGGGGAGAGGGAAGATTTCTCTGCATCTTCTGCCTCATAATAGCAGGATAAAAAGGAAGAAGAGTCAGCAGCATCCGTGCCAATTTCCCCTGACGTTTCCAAATAGGATGTGATTTCTCCACACAGGCCTTTTTCCCTGCTCTTCATGGCTTTTGAACATATACAAAAAGCTCATTTAAACCAATTAAATAAAATTACTTTTAAACTCTTTCTCTGCAGTCAACTTCCTCTTTACTCCAGTTCTGTATCTTAGAAGGAAGTGTAGGGAAGGATATGCCTTTTTGTCCTGAAACCTGCATTTTAAAAGGGACATTTTTCACTATAAAGTTTTCTCCTCACATTAACACTGAGATTATATAGCACTGGTTAAAATGTTGGGTTGTGGAGCCAGGGTCCCTGAGTTTGAATTCCAGCTCTGCTGCTTTTTATATGATTTTACACAAATTAGTTAGCTTTCTGTGCCTCACCTTTAAAATGGGTTTGATAATAGAGCCTCCACCATAGTATTGTTGTGAGGATTAAGAGAATTAATAAAGGGAACATCTGTATTTTATGCATGTCTGGTACAAAATAAAGGAGCTCTCATGGTGTAGTGGTTAAGGCATTTGGCTGCTAACCAACAGGTTAGTGGTTTGAACCCAACAGCTG